GTGCTATTTCTTTTTATACGTTGATTGAACTGACAAATATCTTCCTGCACAGTCAATATGTATTGGATTTTGTTCTGGGTTGGTTTTTTCTTTCTTTTTTTTTTTTTTTTTTTTTTTTTTTCCCCTTTTTGTAAGTTCTTTTAAGAAAGTGTCTGGAAGTTCAGCCCTGCCAGTTTTGAGTGCAGGGCCACTTGTTAGTTCCTTATTAAGTGTGGGCTAACGAGGAAGGAAATGCGAAAGGGTAAGATGGCAGGAAAGCCATTGCATCTTACTGGTGATAAGGCAGCTCAAAAATAGGTTGTGACAGCTGAACTAATGATGTCACCGATGCTGATACAAGTGGGCTGCTTCTCATTATGATTTCTCTGCCAGACATAGTGACATTCACCAGCCAGTGCGTGTCTTGAGTAGACGATATATAGAACAAATCACAGGAAATGTGGCTCAGGAGGCATACGATAGAACATTTGCCCAGTTTGTTGTTGTGGGATTTTTTTGTTTGGTTGTTTTTTTGGGTGTTCGGGGTTTTTTTGTTTTGTTTTGTTTTGTTTTGTTTTTTACAAGAGCATACTACTTCTGTAGATGATAAAGGTGTGTATAGGTCAAGCTTAGCCTTGCTGGACCACTTTATCAAACCAGGGTCATAGGGCTCTTGTGACATTTAGAGATAAGCATTTTGGAGGTAAATGAGATGGAGCAGTCTGTGAGGAGATCAGAAGGTGCTTGTGTAGCTTCAGACCTCAAGTAAATTACAAATACAGTTTTGGTAGCCTGACCATTGATACGTCCTTTGTACTGTACACAGTGTATTAAGATAGGAATAGATAAATAATGTAGTTTAGTTGTCAGAAAGATGCATTTGTTGCCCAGGTTTTTACCATAGATTTATTCTCAGTTTATTTTCCATAGAGTTATTTTTAATGAGAATGGAAAGGGAGTTAAAAATTATTTGGATTCAGATTTCATTGTGTAGCTACTTGATCAAAACATAAACTTGTTGTTTATATTCTTGTAAAGGGAAAATGCTATATTAGCTTTCAGCTATCAGATTTGATTCAGATAATGATACAGCATCCTAATTCATAGGCTCTACTTCAGATATTGAGTTTGACTGTGATAGAGCCTTTTTCAGAAAACTGCTCTACCCTGATAAATCATCCAGAGAGAGATAACATGCACGTTTAGATGGCATGGAAAAATAAGCTAATAATGTGATTGTATAGGAGTACTCCAATATTTCAATGCATTTGTGTTGATAAATTATCATTTGTTTTAATGTTCGGTTGCATGTACCCTTTTTAGCTGTTATGCTTGATCGCAGTGATTTGCTAGCTGTATGTGAGTGCTGGAGTTGGTTGCTTTTCCTGTTTTGATCACAGCCCAGGCAGTAAAGGCCACTACGCTTTAAACAGATAATAAATCATATGGTGTCCTTGCTAACCAACATTACAGATTCCCCCGGGCCTGAACCGAACGTCCTTCTTTCTGTTCAGTTCAGTGCAAAGAAGGTAAAATGCTATTTGATGTTAGTGTAATATTTTGAGACGAAGTCTGATGAGGAATTTTTCCAAAGTGCCAAAAATAAATCTCACCAGCAGAGTTTTAGCTGGTGACTCGAGGCATATGTATTCCTGACTTCTGTCTGTTTATTTTTATTTCCCTTTTGTTGTGAGCTGTCTAAAGTTTTGATGCTGTTTAGCCAAGGATGGAATTATAAAAGTAGCCTATAAACTCTTTCCAAGGTGGGGAGGAAACAAAACATGGTGTGAGGAAGGTGTTTATGCTTTTTGTTATGGTGTGTGCCACTTACCTGCATGGCATATTTGGTTGCATTTAAAATACTGGAGCAAATTCCTTGCAGTTACTTTTCTTAGACAGTTTGCTCTGTGAAGATAGTGGAAGTGGGATGCTCTGACTCTTGTCATTCAGCTGCAACAGATTTCAAGTTATTGCTAAGATTTCAAGTTGTCAAAGCATTTTACCCTGTTAAACCGTGTGCTCTAATGACCCGCATGTCCCAGGATTGCCCCAGATTGATTACTGTGGTATAACCGATTGCTTGCCAGTGGGACTGAATCATTTTGAGTTGCATTCTCCTCTATCATGAAATGTTTTAAAAACAGTTTTACCAACAACAAAAGCTGCTGTCTAAATCAAGCACAACACGTTTTCCCGTTATGGCATGAATTTTGCTTGGTAACGTTTTGATTGCTGGGATGAGTGTTTAGCATCCTGAATTTGCTAAATGAAGGATGTGTGGGAATCAGATTTTGTACTTGAAAGCTTTTCTCCCTTTTTGACAGCTTGACCAACTGTTTTCTTGGCTTTGGGGTGCCCCTTCTATTCCTTTTTTCCCCCCTGCTTCTCTCCCTCTTCTCTCTGCTATGAACAACTACCAACAACATCTCTCATTATTAAAGATGAATATGAAGGCAAAGTCCTGACATAGTTTATATCATAAAATAAGAAGTGCTGCAAATCCTGTCTTTCAAAAGTTAGTACGTGTCAGACGATGCAATTCAATAGCAGCTTCTTGGCTAGAGCTCACCACGCACACAGAGAGGAGCAGGGCTTACGTTCTCCTGCCTCCAGAGCTGGCCGTGCTTTATTTTACTGAATGCCATTGCGGTCCTTTGTCATCTGCCGATGTACCTAGGGTGATTTCTGATTCTTACGCCGTGTGCTTAGGCAGTGGCAATAATGCCCTGCTCTTGAGAGCTGTGCAAGCAAGAGACTTGGGGCTGGTCTGGAATTAGATCTCCTGTATTTCTGCTTTCAGTTTTGACATCAGTTTGCTGGCTGGTGCCAAACTAGGCAGTAAATTCAGAGGCAATAGCAGGGGCAGAAGCCCTAAAACTGATGATTTCCTACCAGCTGAGATTTTTATTTCAAGAAATGTTGCTTTGCTTGGATGGTACAACTTTTCCTGGTTTTATAAAGTGTGCCAGTATTCTGACTGTAAATCTAATATCTCTGTTTGTAATTTCACTGTGCATTAAAACCTACCATGCCAGATTTTGGCCCTGAATGTGGACATTTATTTTGCCATTGATGGTTATTGTTACTCTCTTCAGTATCATCATCAGGTTACAAAGAAAACATGTTAAAAAACATGCACAGCCCTCTGGTCTCCTGGAGTAGTCAGGAAGTGGGGAGAAGCTGCTCAACCTGCCAGTTTGCTTTGTTAGAGGTAATTTGTAGATGTTCGTGATACACAAGGACAGTATCTAACCTGTTTCTGTCCTAAAACAGACAGCAGAAAATATCAGGAAACAATTAGGTGACTTGACTTGGTCTAATAAAAGAAGCATTGTTTGGTTTGGTGCTGAAGAGGGAGCTTATAAAGCTGCAACGTTATCCTTAACTTGATAGGGATTAGCTGGATGTTAGTGCAATAACCGTGTAAGAAGTGAAATTTGGCTGATCATTTGTCTTTGATAGCTTCATTTGCGTTTGGCCCCCTAAGCTATTTCTCAGGGAGTGGGAGAACTCCTGATACTCCAACTCTCTGCATGACTTGTCATTTAAATGACAAAAATCACTTCTCTCAAAAGCCTACTTTTCCTTCAGGAAAATCAGATTAAATCCAGGGCTGAGGGTGTTTTGGTGAGTGGTTTAATGTCCAATATGTTGCATTACTCTAGATGTAAAAGTATATGCATTAGAAAAGAGAATTTCCCAACTTTTTAAGGTCACCTTCTTTTCCGAAAGGCCCAGGGCTTCAATGGACCCTTTTTATGTAGAAAAATACTTCAAAGACCTCTTTATGACCTCTTGCATGAGGTTCAGGGTAGCTAAGGGACTGTAGCCTGTGTGAAGCTAGGAAGATTTCATCGTTACTTGAGCTGTTCGTGACTGTCCCAGTTGTGAGCAGTATTCTCAGAGCATCACAGGACTCTTGGTTGGAGGGGATGTCCAGAGGCTGACTAGATCTCACCTGGCCCTAAAAATGGGTCTTTAGCACCCACACTAGGTCTGGTCAGCTGTGCTGTGGAAATCTCCAAGGATGGGAAATCCACCTTCTTCCTGGGTAACCCACATCAGTGCTGCCCTCCTAAATGATGCAGCATCACGTTATTGTTTTATACCTCTTACAGATTTATTTCTAGCTGCAAGTGTACTGTCAAATAGCTGCTTGTGACTTGTTGGTGGAATACCACAGCAAAAATAGGAGTCCAGCTTCTAGGCTGTGCATGAATAATACAGTGTCCTCTGCAAAGTTACAGGATTTTATTCTTCAGGCATTCACATAATGAGAATTCTGAGAATCTGTAAGTGAATTAGACCCAAATTAGCTGAGCCACTGAGAATTTTATGCAAGGTAGATAGACCTTTGTTGTCCTAAATTATCTTGGTTGCTAAGTAAAAATATGCTATAAACTTTTAGAGTGATTCCATGGGCAGTATTTTAATGAATTTTGTAGCACTAAGTGTGTTGTAATTCCGAAGAAGATATTTTGAGTTATATAAAAACCAACAAATAGTACTGTCTTCTTCAATGTGGCTGTCTCCAGTTCTCTGAGGGCTAAAGTCAGAGCACTCTTGAGAAAATAATAAAATAGACCTTTTACAAAATGGCAACACTCTTAGTTGAAATGATGGTTCCAAGTCATCTTCCTTTAAGCCTAGCTTCCATTTGTGGAAATTTCTTTGGCGTAAGTTCAGAGGTGTAGCTGCTGTTTAGGTAGATAGAGGCATTTACTTCTAATCGCATTAGTGTTTCAGCTGAATTATGAGCTTGAAGGCGTTCAGTGCTTACCCAATATCACTACAGTTTTGTTAATTAATACTGTTTGCAACAGATACAGGTATATGTCAAACTGGAAATGCAGACTTGTTCACAATGAATTCTAGGTATACTTTACTTTTAATCAAAGCTCCCATAAAATGCGATCAGAATTTAAGCAGTATTTCAGAACTGCAAATAGTGTTAGGAAAAACTTGACAATGACTTGTCCTTTCAAATTTTTCTGATGAAATATCTTGCTTCTGTCTTCTAGGACCTGCGCAAACAGGTAGCTCCATTACTGAAGAGTTTCCAGGGAGAGGTAAGAGCTTATGCTTCTCATGGTGCTTTAGATATTGCTTCACATGAGTGCTGGCAGTGTTTCAGCGTGGCCGGGTGGGTACAGAGCCCTTGATCAGAGAGCATTGCAGGGGTTCAGCCCTTCTGCATTTTGCTGCGTGCAGGATATGTGTGTGATACACTGGATTTGTGCTGGACAAGCTAAACTGGTCAAATCACTTTGCATTCAGCATACCTGAGCATAAGCTTACCGTTGCAGTGACTCAGGTGGCACATGCTAACTCGCTATGCTTCAGTGACTTGATGGTTTGAACGCTTAATGAATGCAATGTAATGTACCTATACAAAAATATGAAGATACTACAAATAGTTTTCACTGTAAACCTTTTCAGCTGTAAAACAATGTATTCTAGAGGGCTTGATGGAAGACCTTAAGTTGGCAGGTGTTTGTTGGAAAACCAAGAGAAAGCATTAGCAGCTCTGATGCTGGCTCTTACTTTGATTTCTCTTCACACCACTCCACTAAGAAACACATGATTAGAGTGATCACAAGTTTAAAAGCCAACTGTTGTTATTTTGAAGAATTTCTATAGGAAAAGGCAGCTGGGCCAATTACAGAATTTTACATTTTAGCTGTGGACAGCACTGAAGCGCTCACTTCACGTGAGTGCTTAGGCCAGATGGGAGCTGTTGTACTGCCTCTAAGGAAATGTCGTGTATGAAGTTTGCAAATTATATTTCTCGTTATGAAGATTAGTGCCTGCGTGGGGTGGTAGATACAGGTTTTAGCTCACACTGTGTTACACATTGTAGAGCTCTGCCCTTAAAGTTAGCTGCGTTAAAACAGCAACACTTTTTACTTCCTTGGTCTGTAAGTCGTTGGCTGAGTTTATATTGTTGCAGTTCCCATCAGAGCACAGAGAAATTGAGGAGCGTGTGTTCAGAAGTCTGCATAGGGAATTAAGTGCACAACTCCCGTTATCTGTAATGAGGGCTGCATTTCTGATTACTTGCATATCCTGCTAAATATGTATCCCAAATAGGCAATAATTGCTCATCTTAAAAGCAGTATGATATTTTTTATTTTACCACCCAGTTTCCCAAGTATTGCTAGAAATAAATAAATAAACAGAACAACTTTGTCCTTGATATATCTAATAGTAATTTGTGAGAACAAAGAATGACTTGTGTGAGTCCGTTTGCCAATGGAAATTTACACTTCAAAATTGCTCTGAGTGGATTGCAGTGTTGTTAAAACCTTTTCACTTTAGTTTCAAGCTTGCAGTGCACTGACTGAAAAGTGTATGTGTGCTTTCAGCACTGTTCTTTAATGAAGGGAATGTCTGAGGATGAAGTAAGAATCATAAATCCAAATTTGGCTACAGTGAAGGAAGATTCTCTGATTAGACCTTGCCTTGGAGACAGCTCACTGTTAACCTTGGTATGGCTCATACACACTCCTCTTCTGTAGTTTTGCTTCACTAACGTAAAAGTGAAGTTAATGTTGGTATAAATTCAACCTCGCAAATTGCAAGAGTAAAATCTGTTGGTAGAAATCTGCTCTTAGATAAATGAAGCACGAATACATTACAAGATTGTGCTGCTGAATCTGTGAGCCAGTGATTCCAGTGTCCTTAATCTAGACAGGGGTTTAGAAACCTAAAAACCCTGAACTAATCATGATTGACTACATAAATGCAGAACATTAAACTATGAATTGTGATATTTGATTATAGATGTAATTACTGTATCTTGTTTTGGAGACAAATCAAAATACCAAGAACATTAGCCTGTTCTGTTGAGTTATATTTTATTGTTCAGTATATAGATTTGGTCTCTGTTTATTGTTAAGGCTGACTTTCTAAAAGATCATGAGATGAATGCTCCAGGTATCTCAAGAACAAATTGTGTTAAGTACATAAGCTTTTCTCTATTTCAAATCCACTGGAGATGCCTCGACTTACTCTCCCCTGAGATGTCTCAGCAAGCAGTATTGCTGAGAGCCGGACACCCATCCCACAGACTCTGTGAGATTGTTTTGCAGTAGCGTGAGTGTTACCTGTTAGGTGATATTTAATGTCCTGGGAGGAGGTGGCAGAGAGACCTTTTGGTCACACAGTACATGTACTTTGGGATGTGAGCAGGGAGGAGGAAGGAGGAATAGAGAGTGATCAGCTCATAAGAGGTTCCCTGCTTCTGCTACACAGACTTCAGTTTTCATCCCCAGACTAGGATTTTGGTTTTTTTTAAAAAAACAACAGGAGAAAGTAAATAAAACAGAGGTAAGCAGAGAAGCAGTGAAAATACGATGTTTTCTACTGTCTCTGGTGGAGAGCGAGTGCCCTCGAGCAGCAGGTAGGGAATGCTGTAGGAGTGCTCTGGTTCACACCTCTGCAGGCATTGTGGATGGTATTGCCGAACTTCAGAGCACCGCCGCCTTCTCGTCAGTTGCTCATGCGGAAGCTAGGAAAAAACGTTCTTGCATGATGCAGCTTCTCTGGTTACCATGCGGGAGAGTCTCCACCACATTTTTGCCTCTGACTCCTATCTCCACCCCTACTGCTATTGCCCCATCCTTTTCTTGATCTCTAATGACAGAACTAAGTAGGTGTTTTTTGCATGTCCAAGTAATAATAAATTACGATTCCATCTCAGAAGGGAAGCAGGCTTTTGCAAATCCCATGTGGGATGACTGTGTTCCACAGGGCTCTCGGCACTAGGGAGGGCCAGAAGATCAGATGGGACAGATAGCTCCCTAACGAGTAAAGGTATTTAAGTAGCTTTATATGGATATTGCTGTGTTCTGCCTACCTAAGGACTCAGCTCCCCACCTCCTGCCTTGCCTCAGCACATTTGCTAGTGTGATCCCACGGTGAGCACAAAGTTTTCTTTTTTTCCCCTTTTTTTGCTGGCTTAGTTTTCTGCCAGGGTGGTTCACTGAAGCAGCTCGCTGCAGGCGCCTGCGGGGCAGGGGAGAGGCCAGGAGAGTAAAGCCAAGGGCAGGAGGAGTGCAAATGTGCCAGCTTAGGTTGACTTAAACTGTCCTTGAACTGTACCCTCGGTGAGCTTGACGTGACTTGGAGAGAGGTTAACTTAAGCTCACATATTTAAATATCCTCCCAAGCATGCTTTATGGGACGTCTGCTTGTAAACCTGCGGCTAGTTGACTTTTTAAAATAAATCCGCAGGTCACTTCAGCCAATTTTTCTTTTCAGTTTGAGCATGCATAGTGATACTTCCCCCCCCCCGCCCCCCCGCCTTTTCCCTTCGTATAATATGAATTTATAAATACACCCCCCCCAGACCAGAACATTCTGTATTCCATAGATGTATTTATCTCATTCATTCAGATGAAAACTGTTCCAGTTATCAAATATGCAGTTTCCATTAGTAGTGGGAAATAACTTTTTTTGTATAGATCTCAGTGCTTTAAGTAACTGGATTTTTTATGTTGACAGTTAAAGTAAAAGCATTATAAAATGCAATTTAGCATACTGCAAATTTTAAAATTTATTCCTAGTTCAATGTGAGTCCCTATTAATTCATCACTGTAAGATAATTTTATTATAGTACTTTTTCCTTATTTAGGATTTTAATGGAAATTTGAACACAGTTGTGGTTTTTTTTAACTTAATAGAATGTTCTGTCTGACTCAGAACTGATGGTATTGTTCTTTTGATCTTTGTGGGTAACTTTTCTAGCTTGCCTGGAAGATTTAAGGTCTGGATGGTGTAAATAGGCTATTGGGAGCAAGACAGTTAGAAGTCATTAATTTAAGAGGTGTAAAATTCCTGTTGTTTCTTTCTTAAATATCTTCTCTTTTTTTTGGTGGGGTTCCCCCCCCCCCCCCCCCCTTTTTTTTTGCTTACCATTAACCTCAGGATGCAGCTTATTAATGGTTCTCACCATATGCTGGGCTAAATACAGGACAGAATCAGAAAAGGCTAAAGAGCTTTATCATTCAATCGTAAAATGATTATATCTCATTTGCAAGTTGGCAAGGCACTCCTTCAAGCAACCATCTAAAGAAGCTGTGTACTGAGTAGGTCATTGTGCATTACCATGTTTACATCAGTGGATGGATATTTGTACATGAAATCTCAAAAAAAAAAAAAGTTATGTTCTTGGGCTATGTTAATTTACAGAACTGAAGTTGTGGTATGGAAATCTAATGTTGGAATCCGTATTTGTGAAGTCATCAAATAGATATTTTAAGGCTGGGAAAGGATTTCCTGAGGTCATTAGCATTCTTTTCATGTGGCATAACAGTACTGTCCAACAGTAATGCAGTAATCCCTCATTTGGAGAACCCTTTAAGGCACATACTCCAAAACAACGCGCTGGACTTTATTTCTGTGAAAACCATTTCTCATATTCTTCTCACAAAGCAAGTACTTTTAAGGGTATTGCCATTCTGATGAGACCACTCTGGCTCCCCACTTAGCTGAATTGCTCTTTAAACTATTAATTTGGTCAGTAGAGTAATTTAATAATTTTCCATATGCAGACAACAGAAGCTGAAAAAAATCATTTTGGTGTGCTGGAACTACTAATCATGCCTTTGAAGGAGTACTCTAATAATGTGTGCCTAAACAAATTCAGACCTAGTTTCCTTCTGTGTTTTGAAGGAGTATTCCTGAGCTGATACTCATCTTTTTTTTTTTACCCTCCTTTAATTTCCTTATGTTAAATTTACAAACCTAATTAATACAATTTCTTTCCTGTAGGTTCACTCCATGATGGCTCAATTAGAGTAGCAGTAGAACTGTGGTTCAATATTCAGGCCAGCTTCATAATTGAAAACACATTTTCTTCTCAAAAGCTGCAGCTGGTTTGGTTCTGCTCATGCAGAAAAGGATATAACCTTGCATAACATAGGAAATGAACGGTTGAGAGAGAAGCCAAATTCAATTTCAGTCAGATATTTTGAGGATAAGTCCATGATCTATGGAAGCAAGGGAATGAAAAGTGTGTGTATGTGGAAAGCAGCGTATTCAGCACTCTATTAATCACGGCTAGCCT